CCTATACTACTTTAACTATGCTATAAATTGTTCCTGTATTCAAATGTTTAAATGTCTGAAAGCCCCAACATCGGCGTGACTAGGAAAGTAGGATGAGATAGAGACAGGAGACTCTTACTTCCTTCGCCTGCTTGAACGTGTCATGTGGTCCTACAAGAGCATACTGCTCCCCAATATCTGCGAGACAACGTGGAAAAGTCTCAATCGGTCTCATAATCTTTCTAGCCGACTTCGGGTGGCAAATAAAGTAGAGCTTAAATGTTAGGGAAAGAAACAGCTGCAAAGTATAAATGGTAGAGGAGTTGGCCCAATCTAGTCCAGTCTAGCCAAGTTAAACTTACCGCAGCCTGGCAAATTTCAGATTACTATAATGCCCTCCAAATTATTCTACTGCTAATTTTGTGCTTGCAAAATGTAGGAATGAAGGCGATCAAAGGATAAATGAGGAAAAGAAATTGCCGAATCACCTGTGTACCGCTACGGAATTGGTAAACGTAAGTTCTTATTCAAAATTCTGCTCTTGAGCATATTGTTGCCCCCAAATGGAGAGGAGACTGGAGGCGACTCGAACTCAATACGGGTGTTAAATAACAAGAAATGTTGTACTGAAAGAGTACAAGAAGTGGGAGGTGTTTCATTGCTGCTTCCAGTTTGATGCTTTTACCAATTGATTTTTGCGTTGGCACTTAAAGCGCAATCAGAGAGGCTACACACTCCACTTGTGTGCTACTACCAATTCATCAGTAGAAACGCCTATGCCATTGGGCTGGTTTTGGTTAAAGTTAGTAGTGCAATGCATGCTCATTTGCACTTTTTGCGGAAGAAACCTCACCGTGGTCATTCGCACAGAAGGGTGTTACCACCATTTTTCGCCTCTGTATGTGCCTGAATATGAATCCGACTGAATTTTTTACGCTCATAACTCCAAGTGAACAGTCAGTAATTACCATAATTTTGCATCATTTTACAACAGAAGGAAAACAAGCGTCATTGCAATCACCCCTTGATGCAATGAATTATGTTGAAAAAACAGACCACTAGTTATAACTGCTTCACTATTAGCACAACTGTCAATAACTCTAATCCCCTAACCAGTCGCCCCACTTTACCGCTAATTCTCTATCCCCACAACGCAATAGGAGGTCAAGTCTATATGAGTCCATAGTTCCTATTAAGCTCTGAGGCCAATAGCATCGACTTTGTTTACGAGGTTCGTATATATTGTCCGCCGCTCACCCAATAGGCACCTTTCAACATGTATAAATTATCTAGAGCCC